GAGAGTGAGGGGCGGCGTGCGTGTGCGCGCGCGCACGAGAGAGAGAGAGTGAGGGGCGGCGAGTGTGCGTGTGCGGGAGACGGGGACAGGGAGATTGGCGAGAAGTCCGCGCCCGCGCGGGAGAGAAATTGTGGGGAGTGCGCGCGCGCTTGAGGGAGGGAGAGATTGGGTGGAGCGCGCGCTGCACGCATGCGTGTGTGTGAGAGAGAGAGAGATTCCATTATTTAAAGTGGCGTAGATGCACCTTACAGTGACTTTGCCCTATAACGTGTATGTGATTCCCTGTGTATGCCTGTGTCTGTCTCCTTTAAACCTTTTTGTCATCTTCAACTCTAGACTGGCTATAGGACAGCATTGCCTACAGGACATAATGTTTGTTAGTGATATGAATTGTGTTTTGTTTCCCATGTCAGTCAGTTGTTTCACGTACGTTTTTTTAGTTTTATTTTTAAAGCTCCTGCTGAAATTACCTCTACTTTTGACTACAATTATTACATATGATGGTACAAGTTGGTGAGAATAGGGATGATGATCAAAATTGTTTTTCTACTCATCATGCGATATGGGCGTCAATGGTAGGTCAACATTTATTGCCTGGAGAACAGTCAAGCGTCAACCACATTGCTGGAGACCGGAGTCACATATAAGTCAGATCAGAGAAAGGTGACAATTTCCTTACCTGAAGGTCATTGGTGAACCAGATGGGTTTCTACAACAGTCATTGTCGTCACAGTTTTACAGTCATTAGACCCTCAATTCCTGAAGTCTAGCAATAATACCACTAGGCCATCACCTTCACCTTCACCACTTACGGAACTTTGTGCAGGATAATGTTCAGTCAGCAAAGTTTGTACCGACAATTATAGATGTGAATCTAGCTAGTGGAGGAAAGCACGGAATAGTCTGGTTCAGGAATGACAAAGAATGGATGATGTTAGTGGAGATTTTTTTTAATACTGGTGCAATTGTCGAGTTGAAAGGTTAGATTGAATTCCTCAGTTATGAATGATCTGCTTCAAGTTTGGTCTTTCAAGTGTCTAGCTGAATGGAATCACAGCTTGTTCAAGAATGGATATCAAATGAGCATTAAAACAGCACAGGAGCAGTGAAGGGGCTTAAATTGGTGGTAGGAGAAATGTAGCTGAATGTAATCAATGTACAAGTGATGCCATAAAGTAAGAGCATGATGGTGAAGAAAAGGAGTGGCAACAGATGGCCTGGAAAGATGCAGAAATGAGGGGAGAACCACTATTACCACTGCAATAACTTGAATGTACAAGTAAGAATGTAGGAATTCAGTGGTATCCTATGGATATTTTGTGATCGCTTTGAATGGTGGAACAGCTCTAAACTAAATGCTTTGCTCCCGCTCCTGGAGTTTTGCAGTTTTGGAGGAAAGTAGTGGTTTTGACCTAGCTGAAAGCTGCAAGGAATATCAGATGGACAATGCTTTTGTGGTCACGATCACAGGATATTACTTCTAGCTTTTGAGTTGAGGCGTTTGCGTATACTATTGGTAGATGGCGTGTTGTAACGATGACTTGTTGGAGTGTTAATCTAATTCTGGGAGCTGCTTGCTGACTGGCTCTCTACTTCAATTTTTATGTGTGTGTACATTTTTTACTTATTTTAGATTTCATACCTCCTTTTCTCTCTTTCACATCTGAACCTTTAATGCACATAACGTATAATATTATGTATTAATTTAAGTTACTTTTCTTTGCCCCCAGTATCTAGCTGTAAAATTATGTGGATATTTCAGCTAAGATCCATTTATGCTGGAAATACCCTCAACCCCGATCTGTTCAGTTTAAATATAGTCATTATGTTTAACAGAACTTGATAGCATCCAGAAGGTGGAGCTATTTGCTACTGATGTATACGATCAATATTTCTGTGTGTCTAGTCTTTTCCTGTCTGCTATTCCCTCAATGTTTGTGTTTAACTGCTTTGTTCTTGTGGGAAGTTTTTCCTCTACTTCAAATTAACTGCTTTTAATTTGATTTGTGTAAATGTATATTGCTGAAGTATTTGTAATTATTAAAAAGGAAGAGGCTGTGCTGTAGTTCCTTGTTGCCCTTTCGTTTAAAAGAAAAGCTTCAATTTTGCTTTATCTTATTTCTTGCCATATGATCAATTAACATGTGGGCCTCATGCTTGATGGATTTCAAGCAAGCATAACTAGTGCAAGAATAGTGCAACCAGCTGCAAACAGCAGCATATAAAGCACGACTATCACTGACCATGTGCCTCAATAAGTAGTAGTGTGATCTGTTGATTGTTCCACCACTTCACCTTTGCATGTACACCATCTGGACCTTGAATGATAAATGGCAAATAAATATTTGTATCTTGAGTTCCAGGCGGTTGTCAATTTCAGCTAGAGAATTGCTGTATTTCTTTAATGTCCAGTGGTATACCATTGCGGAGTCCGACACCTTCCACTTTCTCAAATTAGTTTGCTGTTGACTACAAAGTCAACTAGGTCAACCACACACATTGTATGGTTATTAGAGCTAGCAAAGGCTGAGTATTCTACAGTGAGCAATTAATTTCCTGACTTTTAAAGTGCCTCTACTTTCTACTAGATACATCTAGGATTATTATTCTCCACTTCCTAGATGGATCTAACAATGTGAGTGAAGTTCAGCAGCACTCTGGATAAAGTAGGCTATTTGGCACACCCTCGACCAATTTAAACACCCTCGGCCATTGGTATATCAAAACTACTGTGTATAATATTTACAGATTACTGCAGTAAGTTGCGAAGTTGTTAGATGACACCTAGCATATCTGTGTCTTCTACCATCTAAAGAACAGAGGCAGTACATGGGACCCAACAAAATCCAAATTACACACTGTCCTGATTTGGATACATTTCTCTGTTTTCTTCATTGCTGGGTCGAAATAATGGAACTTGTTCTTGACCAGCATTGTAAGAATGTTGTCTCAAGCTTCTGTAGACTGTGAAGGCTCCCCACTATATCCAAGAGAGTAAGTAAGAGTAGATAGTAAACATCGGCTTGTATAGCTGTGTGTCTCCCTCCACTCCACCTGACGCAGGGGCAGCGCTCCAAAAGCTTGTAATTTGATAAATGTGTTGGACTATAATCTCATGTCGTGTGACTTCTGACACTGGATTTTGTAGTATGGAAGTCTGTTTAAAGTTGTTCTGATGATCTTGAATGTCATGGATTAAAATGAAAATATGATGGGAGTTTGGGAAATCTGTGCTCTGTGTTGCATCATTAACACAGCTCTTTCATAATGCTCCCAGAGTTTGCTTACCTTATTTCCATAAAGTGATGCTTGTTTTTCCTCTGGGTGAAAAGCATCATCTAGTGGTAATAGTTTGCATAGCTGCAATATAAGCCCTAATCTAATGTTCTGTATAACACGTGTACCCTTCATTCTTGGCTTAAATTTTAATTTCTGCATAAACTTTGAAAGTCTACTAAATGAAAAGTAAAAATTTAATATTTTAAGCAATGGTATTTATTTAGGTATTATGAGTCTCTCTCCCTTGGTCATTAGGAGATGTCATAGGGTAGGTGAAATGACAGAAGGGAGGACTGAAGCCCTTACTTTAAATGCATTTTGGGTGAGCGACAATGGAAATTTGGGCTTCTTACCTTGAAACAAAATATGACAGCAATGCTCCGAGCATCAGGACTTGCTTGTGGTGAAGGCTTCCACTCCTTTAAAAGAAATTTAGATCTGCAACCAAAGTGTCTTAATTTGCAATACTAAAACCAAATGTAGGAAAGTGGTATTATAATGATGGGCTGAAGAGCCTCATGGTTTTTATTTGGTTTATAGATATTGACATTTGGAATTAAAATGTGAAAGCTTTTTTCAATCTGAGCCTTTTGAGTTCTCTAGCCTTAAAAGGCAGTGAATCATCAATTATTGAATACTGGGGACTGATACGTAGATTGAAGGATGTGGGGATCAGACTGGAAAGTGGGATTTGTTGTAAAGTTTGGACCCAAAGTTCATCTTATAATTAGTTTGATCTAACTAGCACAGATGATTGTGTTTCAAACAATTTTATTACTGTACTTGAGGCACTTGTGACATCTAGCTATTGAAGGCCAAGCAAGAAGTCTCATGAGATCTCTGACATCAGTCGGTGATATCACATACATTCTAACTGTTACAAGCTTTCTAACATTATGGTCTACATTGAAGATCAGGCATGAACCAATTGAGAATTGGCTTGAGGGTCTATATGGCTTGCACCTCATTGATACTTTTTTCTAATCATTCAAAGGACTGGCTGAAGTGTCATTTATTGCCTATCCCTATTTACTGTTGAAGACGTTGGTCAGATGTGTCTTGAGCCACTGCAATCCATGTGGTATGGGTACACTCTCCGTGTTTATAGAGAGAGTGAGTTCCAGGATTTTGGCCTAGCGACAGTGAAGGAACAGCAATAGATCTAAGTTAGGATGGTGTAAGCTTGGAGGAGAACTTGCAGGTGGTGGTGCTTCTGTGTATCTGCTGCCATTTGCCTTGCTAAGTTGCTGCAAGGTGTCTTGTGGATTGTACCTGCTGCTTTCACTGTTGGAGTGAATGTTCACGTTGTTCGATGTAACGTCAGTTAAGCAGGGTACTTTGAACTTGATGGTTTCAGGCACCTTATGTTATTGGGGCTGCCCTCCCATCTGGGCAATTGGGGAATATCCTATGACACTCCTGACTTGTGGCCTGAATGTAATGGACAGAGTTTGAGGAATTGGGAGGTGAGTTTACTTGTTGCAGAATTCCAGTACTCTGAGAAGCTCTTGTAGCTATAGTAATTTATATACTGTTTAAAATTCATGATTTAATGAGAAATATTCCTTCAGTTCTTCTCCAGGATTACTGAGCAGTTTGTGTTTGGCATAGATGTGTTTCTGCACACGATATGGAAAATATGGATTGATCTTCTGGATGTTCTTGGAATTGATGGTAAGACTAATTTAATATGTTACTGGGGGATTTTTAAGGAGAAAATTGAAGTCAAGGAAGTTTTTGGGTCATTATGCTTGTCACAGCCTGCTTAACTTGTCACAAATCTGCATGGGAAACCTCTATTGTAGCCACCAAATGAGTGTTAGAAGAAGACCTACACTTCCCCTGAGTTTTTGTTTTCATTTTAAAGAGAACTACATAGTTTTATACCTTCAGTTCTATGAACTTTGAACATAAGTCATTAGGCATTTTTATCCTCCTACTCTTGCATGGTCAAGAGAAGCTTTGGTGTTGGAGTTTAAAAGACTTAGCCACTGGGGTTGCATTGCATATGGGTCATCTGAGTGGGAAGGTGTGCTTTTGTGGGTCAGTTTCACTCCAGCTTTTGCATTTCATTAGAAAATAAAAGCAATCATTGACATTGAACTTGGAAGTAACTAACTTACAGCTGCTCAGCAATTTTAAGTCACTCAAATTATTGCTCCAAGAGCCTTATGCAATTGGTGAACTGGCACAGCTTTTAATCATAACTGTGCTCCAGACCATGGAGGAGATTAAAATAAGCCAGACTCTCTCGTCTGTGGTGCTTTCTAAAGTTTGTATGTTATACAACAGGGTTGTATGGTGGATATCTGCTTTTGCAGTTGAAATACACTGGGTAGGAGCAAATGTATAGCTTGGAAAGCTGAACAGTTTGTTTTAAGTTTTCATTTCTGCAAAGAATCTTTATAGTGACCGGCTAGAGTTTGTTATCACAAGCAAAATTGAATTCTCCATTATTTCTTGCAGGATCAAATGTGAGCCAGTATTTGAATCCAACAACAGCTGTAAACCACCCAACTCAAGTTCTCCTGTTAGTTGTTGCTGTACTTGTAGCTTATTGGTTTTTGTCAATATTTATGGGACTTCTATTTTATACGTTACGCACAATGTTTGGCTGCTTCTTCTGGATTGCACGAATTGTCTTTTTTGCCCTCGCTTGTCTCTACATTCTGCAGAAATCTGAAGGTGACCCCGAAGGTGCTGTGCTCCCACTTTGTTTTGTAGTTTTGACGTACATTATGACCGGTCCAGTTGGCTTCTATTGGAGGAGAAATGTTAGTCATGTAGAGGAAAAACTCGATCATCTTGATGGTCAAGTCAGGCTTATGAACATTCGTCTCAATAGAGTATTGGAAAAACTCGATCAAAATACTGGTTAGTGTTAGAAGGAATGCTGTTGCTTATCACCAGCACTGTATAATGGATAGTGAATCACTGTCTAACAAGTGTGAATAACCCATGTTCAAGGATTTATGTTCGTTAATTTTTTTGCAGTCACTTATACTTGCTTGGTTTATATTCATCAGTCACACTATAAATGGGAATAATTTTTAAGTTCTTTTTATTAATTTTGTTTTCTTTGTCTTAAGTGTATATGATCAAATGTTTTTTTAGTGCAAACAGAATTAAATTTGCCACCAAAACAAATGCCAAACAAAGGACCATTTTTTTCCCTCAAATTCTGTCTTACTAAAGGAATGGGGTGGAAGAATACATTTGTGCTCATAATTATGCACTATTGTGATTTGTTGTGTTAGTACACTGAATGTGAAGGATAGCTGTAATTTTTTTAGTTTTTAGTATAGTTTGTGAAACAAGTGAATAAATTTCAAGTCAAAAATCTGTATAATCTTTTCACCCATTTTCCCCTCTGTCCCTTTTCAGTGCTGCTACATTATTGGACCCTGAATTACATAAGTAAGAATCTATTTAAGTAGGTGTGTTCTGTATGTAATGTGCTGTAGTGAAAGAAAAATCACCATATCTATTGTGTACCTCACTAGTGTTTTCCCCTTTAGTTTTGTGGGTGCATTTCATGTGAATTACAGTATGGAAATGTGTATATTTTTCAAACTGCAGATTTTGCCAATGGATTCCTATATTCTGGACCATTTAAGATGGCATGTTTGTAAATGTGATGAGTAATTCGACTAATTATATTATATAGTTTAATTATGGCATGCAATATTGAGGCAAATGAATAAGAAATTCTTCAAACTAAATACGAAAATATCTACGAATGTTTCTTAATCATAAAGACTTTCTGCCCCACCTCTGATTTCCACAAGAGCTCAGCTGAGATAGTAAAGAACCTCAAATTTGCAAAGTTGGTCACACAAATTTGTATTTACTTCTCTTTTTGAGAAGTGGTCTTTTAAATTCCACAAGGTAGATTTTTAGTATAACATTAGACCTAACTGGATAATGCTATTTAAATGAGACATGAATGGTATTCCCGTTGAATGACTGACTAGTGTGTGTTTTGGAGCTGATGGATCCAATTCAACCAATTTTGTGATGAAAGTTCCCGAATGTCTTTGCCCTGGTCATGTAAGGAAGACCTTGGACAGAAGGATTTTTAACTGATGAAATTGCTGCAATTTACAATCAAACTGTGTGGAACTAACACTAACAGTAAAGTACCAATAAATTGCATTGACTTACTTGGTTCCAGATAATGTGCCTTTTGGGAGTAAATGATGTTATATATAATGGTCTTTGGAAATGATTGCTAAAAGGAAAATAAAGGCTGAAAATATTTGTTCATTTGGACAATATTATTGATTTGTCTACCTGTAGGAAAAAGTAGAATAATGAGAATTCTTTTGAATTATGACATGCAGAATAAACAACCTATTAATTAGATTATATTGTATATTGATTATTTAAATTGCAACAATAACTGCACTTGAGCTTGTTTTGACCAAATTTACAATGCAAGATGGATTGCAATAATTACAAAATTAAGATTATTTAATGTACCTGGATTTCTGCTGACTTCAGAACATTTCTGTGATACTACGTATATCACAAGTTTTGATATTGACAGCTGTAATAAGTAGAATCATTTTGATATGCCTTTTAAATATCACAACTGCAATTAACTTATTTTGACTGCTTTTTTTTTAAAGAAAGAAACATATCTCCGGATTCACATTTTAGATTTGGGTATTTGTTAAATTTGCTGTATTTAAATCTCACTGTGATGTATTTTGGATTTTGTTCAATTTCCAGGTGTCATTTTTAACTAAAATGGATAATAGAATCTGTTAAGCACAATGTTACTGTGTGTTAATAAAGGTTTAAAAAACAGTTTGGGTGTTTTTAAACTTATTTGGGATCTTTTGAGCATCAAGCTATCATTTTAATGACTGCCACTGACCTCCTCTTCCCTGGAGATCTTCCTACACGGGCTCCATCTCATTGTCCACCAACGCTGCATAGCCCTATCTTCTTCCCAAAATTTACAAACAGACCCATACTTCCAGCTTGTTCATGCTTCGCTGAACTTATTTCTTACTGTTTTGATTCTATTTTTTCTCCCCATGTCCAGACTATTCCCATTTACATTCATGATTTTTCTGATGCTTTTTGTTTGGTTCCACAATTTCTAGTTTCTTGGCTTCAGCTGCCTCCTGTTATCTATGAATTTGCATTCCCTTTACATGTTCATGCTTCGTCATGATAGTCTGAAGCCTGTCTGCTTGCACCTTGAAAGGAAGTCTGATAATCCTCATCCACTACCGCATTCCTCCATCTGGCAAAGTCCAAGTCAAAGCTATGGTTATGGGTACTTGCATAGATCCCGGTTAGGCTTGTCTCTAGATTGTGTGGAGCTTTTCTCTGGTTTTTCGAGTTTTTCAGAATTCTCGTCTGGAATTAGAAAAATTAATCAATTTTACTTCCAATTTCCATACTTCTCTCATCTTCACCAGGTAAGTCTTCCTTTCGCTTCCTTGATTTCTTTGTTTCCATTTCAGGGGATCGGCTGTTCACGACTATTCACTACAAACCCACTGATTGCCACAGTTACTTTGACAAAATATTTCCTTTCATGCTACTTCCTGCAAGGGCTCCATTCCATTCTCCTAGGGGTGCTTCTGACATGTCCTTTTTCTTCAGCATTGGGTGGAAATCCAATGTTGACAGGGCCCTGTCTAACCCATTTCCTTCACTCCCATCTTCACTGCTTCCCCTCTCTCTCCCTGAACAACAATAGGGTTAACTTTGTCCTCACTTTCCATCCCACCAGTCTTTGCATTCAAAGGATCACCCTGCACCATTTTCACTACCTCCAGCAGGTTGCCATCATCAAACCACATCTCTCTTCCCCTGCATTATCACTGTTGACTCAGAATTTTGCAGGGACCATTCCCTCTGCAACACCTTGGTCCACTCATCCATGCCTCATAACACTTTCCACCTCCAAATGGCAGAAGGTGCAAGATTTTGCCTTTTGCTGCCTCAAGCACCCCCCCCCAAAAAAAAACATATGCCTTCCAGCTGAAGCAATGTACTTCTTTCAATCTAGTTTACTGCTCACAATGCGGTTTCATCTACATGTGAGACTAAATGCAGACTGGTTGATCATATGGGCCCTTTAAAAACCTGATGCAACTAATGCTGCAAGATTTAAAAAAAATTTGCCAGACTTGTTGAATAATATTTTGCCAGTCTTCATTGTTGGCAAAGAGGGTAATAATGTATTCCAGGGATAATATCCTGGACATTTTAATGAGTCAAGGACGAGCACTCAAAAGTTAGCCTAAACAAAGGAAGTATTATTAGGAAAAAATAAGGGCATTAAAGACTGACAAATCTCTCGAACCTGATGATTTCCACTCCTGGGGTTTTAGTCTATGATGAATGAAAGACCCTTTGGAGGTTAGACAAGCGAGGATTGTTTTCTGTAGTGCATAGGAGATGGGGTGGTTTGGAGGGGGGGGGTTGGTATGGAAATCTTATAAAAGCGTATAAGAACTGAGTGGCATGGATAGGGTGAATGCACTCTGTCTTTTTCCCAGGGTTGGGGAATTTGAGGACGAGAGGGCATCAATTTAAGGTAAGAGGGGAAAGAATACGTAGGAATCTGAGGGGCAACTTTTTTTTTTTTACACAGAGGGTAGTACGCATATGGAATAAGCTGCCAGCGGAAGTGGTTGAGGCAGGTATGTTAACAACATTTAAAAGGCATTTGGACGAATACATGGATAGAAAGGGTTGAGAAGGATATGGGCAAGTGCAGGGAAATGGGGTTAGCATGGATGGACATTTTGGTTGGCTTGGACCAAAGGGCCTGTCTCTATGCTGTAGGACTCTAACTGCTTTGTGGAATATCTCCACAGGAATGACGCCAAACTTGCAGTATTTTTGTAACGTTAAGATTTCATCCATGTTCCTTTCTATGTCTCAATCTTTCTTTTGTCACAAACTTGGTTTAGGTCTCTTGTTTAGATCTTAATAGCTGCAGTGAATAGTTAGTGGCCCACAGCTCCTGTGAAACATAACTATTAACATCTTTCCAATATAGTGCATATACATTATTTAATGATAAAAGAAAGTTTAGGGATAATCACCTAGCTCAAATTTGTCTTTTTTGCATATTGACATTGCTGTCTGAAAATATAATATAAACACAATATTGCATTTTTGGTTATCAATCTCTAATTGCTTTCTGGAAGTCCATATAAACAATGTGTGTATACATTGTGCCAAATTCTACTTTAGTTACTTCCCATAACTACTTACAAGCCCATAATTGGTTAATTGAGTTCTAATCAGGTCAAATTTCTCAAGTACCAAGTCACTGTGTCCTTAATTATAAATTCCAAAACTTACTGACAATTTGTTACTTTTCTTTTACCTTTGTTAAATAATGAAGAGTTTAAAAAAAAAAAATTGGCAAGGAAAACATAATTGAAGCATTGTCCCTTTATTGTGCTATGGTCCAGCTACAGCCCATTTAAGACACATTTACTTGCACAAAGTTAAAACCAGTTACAATGCTGCAAAAGAACAGCTCCCAGTAAGATCGAGACTGAGTGTATGATATCATTAGCTCACATACCATAATATGTGATCCGTATGAATATGTAATCCACCACCATTCGCGACTGAATTTGGCAGGACTGCAGAGCTTAGATCTGAACCTTGCTTGTGGGATTGCTTAGCTCTGTATGTCACTTGCTGCTTATGCTGTTTGGTGTGCAGGTAGTCCTGTTTGCTGGTTTCACCACTTTGACAGCTTATTTTCAAGTATGCTTGGTGCTGCTCTTGGCATGCCCTCCTGCACGCTGCATTGAACCTGGGTTGATCCCTGGCTCGATGCTAATGGTTGAGTGGGAGATATGCCGAGCCATGAGGTTGCAGATTGTGTTGGATTACAATTCTGCTGCTGTTGATGCCCCATAGCGCCACATGGATGTCCTGTGTTGAATTGCTAGATCTGTTTAAAATCTGTCCTACTTAGTACTATAAAATATGATGGAGGGTAATTTCAAAGTGAAAGCGGGACTTTGTTTCCACAAGGACTTTCCAGTGGTCACTTTCACTGATACTGACATGGACAAATGCAGCTGCAGCTGGCAGATTGGTAAGGATGAGGTCAAGTATGTTTTTTCCTCTTGTTGGTTCCCTCATCACCTGCCACAGACCCAGTCTAGCAGCTATGTCCTTTAGGACCTGAACAGCTCAATCAGTAGTGCTGCTGCCGAGCCATTGAAACCCCTCCCCCCTGACTCAGAGTACATTTTGAGTCTTGCCACTCTCAGTGCTTCCTCTAAATGGTGAAGATGGCAGATTTTCTTTCCTGAAGGACATTAGTGAACCGGATGGGTTTTTCCGACAACAATGTTTGGGTCATGGTCGTCAATAGATTATTAAATGCAGGTATTTTTATTGAGTTCAAATTCCACCATCTGCCATGGTGGGATTGAAACCCAGGTCCCTATAATATTAGCTGATTTTTTGGTTTACTAGTCAAGCTTTAATATCACTAGGCCATCATCTCCCTTTCAATGTATTGGATAGCAACTGAGGAATAAAGAAACTTATTGAAACAACCACCCAAAGTATGCATTTTACCCAAAGTTTTTGTTTCCTATCTGTAAAGACTTTCTGTAGCATGCTAAAATACTTTTTTTGTATAATTGCCTGGTGTAATCCTATATGTGCACAATTGTTACCTCACTCAAAACAAACTTCACAATCTTTCACTGAATTACATCATAATCTAACTTCGTCAGACTGTCAAACTGTTGGCTACATTTGTCCATATGGATATATTTGCATCAGTTTTATTGTTAAATAATCTGACTGCTATCTGTACATGCTTGGGAAGCTGAAATACCATTCTCTCTGAAGTGATGATCTGGTAACCACTTTCACATCTTTTACTCACTCCATATTAGAATATGAGGCACCTCTGTGTCAGGCGAGATCACAAAGCATTAAATATAAATCATACCACCATATGAATGAAGAGCAGGCCATTCGGCTCTTTGAGCCTGCTCCACCAATCAAGAAGACCATGGCCATATGTTCATGTTTTGAATTCATCATTTCCATCTACTACAAAGAACCTTTGATTCCCTTGTCTAACAAAAATCTAGCTCCTTCTGCTTTACAAATATTAAATGACCCTGCCACCACTGCCTTCTAATCTTAGTTCTGGACTCACCAGCAAGAGGAAACATCCCTTCCATTTTTACCCTGTAAAGATCATTCAGGATCTTATATACTTCAATTAAGTCATCCACCACTTTTCTAAACCCCAGCGGAAATAAAGCCAGTCAGCCTCCAAACAACATGCGATTCCAGGTATCACTCTAGTAAACCTCCTCTGAACTGTCTCCAATGCATTTACATCTTTTATTAAATAAGAAAGCCAAAACGATATACAGTATTTGAGATGTGATCTCACCAATGCCCCTATGAAGCATCATATCCTTCCCTTTATGTTTAATTTCTCTTGTAATAATGGCTAGTACTGCATTAGTCTTCTCAGTAACTTGCTGTAGATGCATACTAACTTTTTTTACATATACTAGAACACCGAAATCCCTCTGTAGTCATTTTTCTGTTATAGTAAAACTCTGCTTTTTCATTCTTCCTGCTAAGGTGAACAACTTCACATTTTCCCACATTATGGTCCGTCTATCAGAATTTTACCCACTTGTTCAACCTATCCATATCTGTTTACAAACCTCTTAGGTCTGCTTTGCAACATTGTTTCCTACATATCTTTTTGTTATTTGCAAATTTCACTACAATACCTTCACTCCCCTCACCCAAATCATTGATATAAATTGTAA